CGGTCGCCAGCGGCCCGGCCGCCTCATCCAAGCGCCGCAAGCGGGCGTAGCGACATGCATTGCTGTCGCTCCCTTTACTTCCGCCTCCCCCACCACTCGCGCCCGGCCCGCAGAAAGCTGACCAGATGCAGCGCGGCGCCGATGGCGGCCACGTCACGGAGCCCGGCCCGCGTCCGCGACACCTTCTTCCTCCCTTTCAGCACTTGCTCCTCCTTCAAACGCTCCACCACCGGTGCCGCAGCCCGCGCCTCGCCCAGTGCCGCCTGCCATGCCACAACCCGCCCCAGCCCGACCTGATCGTCCAGCCACACACCCTCGTCCCACATAACCAGCTGTGGCAGATCGACATGGTCGGCGCCGGGCTCGGCACTCGCTGGTACCAGCACTCCACGCCCGATCCGCTTCATCTTGCTCTCGGCCATCGCCATCTTGGTTCCGGCCTTGGTCCTCCCGAGCAGGATGTTGGCGATCCGCACCGTTGCACCGCGGCTCCGTGCCACACCCACCGGCGGCAGCGTCAGCACCACCACCTCGGGTGCATGTTGCGCCATCAGCCCCTCCAGCGCCCGCTCCACATCAAACGACTCCATCCTGCCCGGGAAGATCGACGTCGCCACCGGGACCACGCCCTCCTCCAGCCCGTCCCACGCATCGCCGCCGCCTGCGCCAGCCACCGCCACGCCGAGCGTCCCTCGCGTCACATACAGCGACATCAGTCTCTGCGGAGCATTTTCTGTAGCGCCCACCTCTTCCGATGAGCCCTCGCCATTCTTCCCGCGAGCACCGCCCACGCCCGCCAGCACCGCCATGACCGAGCTCGCCCGCACCACGCCAGCAACAGAGCCACACCTTTGTAGCAGCCACCGTGTAGCACCAAGCATTCTCCACAACGACTGTGAACCTTGTCCGCTCTGCGCTTTCCCCTCGCCACCCGCGACGTGCTCGAGTTAGGTGCCTCTGCTGCTCGCCCTCCTCGCCCCGCCCCTGCCGCCAGCCCACCCACTCGCTCACCCATCGCGTTCAATGCCACCATCGCTCTCTCCGGCATCTGCACGGATCCATTCACATGCATTGTCAGACTCTTGCTGGCCTTATCACTGATCAGCTCAACTTCTGTGGTCTCGATGAGGCGTGCCGTGGAGCTCGAGCGATCGCGCGGCTTCGCGCCGGTGGTGAAGGAGGACAAGCTCGGCGAGGTCAGATTCATCGGCAGACGGCGCAGCGAGGGTCTCCTTACGAGGAGGCACGCCGTAGCGCGATCGTAGAAACGGCTGCGGAGGCGCCGGTGGATCGGACGAAGCGCTGCGAAGCGCAACATGCGCCAGGTGGACAACGATGGCTGCCGACGGCGGCGCGTGCTCGGTCGCCACCGTATTGATGGCCGCAACCGAGGCTCGTCTCGACTTCCGCGCCGGCCTCGCCCGCAGCGGCCGCGGCTCGAGCGACGACGACGACGTGCAAGATGCAGTCGATACCGACGAGGACCACGAGCCGAGCGGGCTGGTCGAGCCCACAGACCCAATCGACGCCCTCCGACCTGGCCGGCCCCGAAGCGCCGCGTACATCCGCCCCGCTGACTCGGCCGTCCTCAGCGCAGTCGGCGAGTCGGCAACAAGCGACGCAACCGACGACGACGGTACCGAGACAAGCCCAGCCCCAGGCGCAACATCTTCCACATCCACCAGCCCCGGCGCCTCGTCCTTCAACGCCCGCGCCTCATCGCATCGCCTCCGCAGCGACACCAGCTTCCGACGTTCCACCACCTCGCTCGTCGACTTGCTCGTGCTCATCGCCAAGCCGCTCTTGGACTTGGACCGACCCTTTTCGCCGGTCACTCTGGGACGCACCTCCGGCATCGATCCATGCGTCGCGCTCGACCAGCTCCTGCGCTCTGCGCTCCTTCTTCGCCGAGAAGAGCCTCCCTTCCGCCTCTTCTCACCGCCCTCCTCGTCCCCAGTCTCCAGAAGCACGCCCAGTCGAGCGGCAAGCTTGGCTCGCCGGCTCCGAGAAAGTGGTCGCGAGCGAGTGCCGAGACTGCCGCCGCTTCCGCTGCTCGCTCCACCACCGGAGGCGCGCCCGGCGCTCAGCCCATGACGACCACGCTCTCGGCGCGGCGGCGAGAGTGAGCCATCCACTCCCAGCCATACCGGCATAGCCATGGCCTTCCCCCTTCACTTGCTTGTTGTCAAAGACAAGTCTGTCCCACCCATCAGCGCAGCTACCCTCCTCCACCCCTCCCTCTCTCGCCCTTCTCGCCACGTGCGCTCAGCCTCAGCATGCGCCGAAACAGGGCCAAACGTCTTTTTTTTTTTCTGTGAATTCACTCCGCCGCATGCGTCTTCCGCACGCGTATACGGACAAGTACAATTTTTCCCCACCCCCCACCCCCCACCCCCCCCCCCCCCCCCCACCCTCACCGCCACCCTTCGCTCCAGTCAGCTGCCAACCGACCACCCAAAGGGGCCAAGAACGAGGGAGACGAGACACCACGCGTCGTGCATGTCAGCCAAGATCACCCACTTTAACGGGTGGTTGGCTGGGTGGCGGGTACCGCAGCTGGGTGCTACCCTCCGAGCATGGGTGACGCATGCGACTCGGGAACGCTACGCACCGGTGAAGAAGCTGCGGGAAGACCTGGCCGACTCGGTCGTCTTGCTCCATCTCGTCTCTGAAGCCGTGGGAAGCAACTTGTTTGCTCGTGATGACATTGTGCCTCGGCCGACGAGTGGTGCTGACATTGCGCAAAACATCAATGTCATCATTGCTGTCCTGGCTGATCACGGCATCGTACACATGGCTGATCTCTCGGCGAGCAAGCTCGCTCGCTCCGCTACCGATGCCTACCTCGTCTTTGTCCTCCACATCGCCCGCCTCTACTACAAGCGGCGACTCTTCCCACACAACGAGCCTGCGTCAGTCAAGTCGTCCAAGCTCGCCAAGATGCCTTCGCTCGTCCGCGTTGTGAGGAGGCACATCCTCAATCCGGCCACCAACCCGCTGCTGGCCCAGATCAAGGGTCTGCCCGGCGGCGACGCTGTCCTCACCGCCGCCAAGGCCATGTCTAACCTCCACTCGGACTGGGCCTCGGGCACGCTCTTCTACATGCTTGTCTTCTCCTTCTTCCCCGGCGACTTTTCGCCGTCAGACCTGCTCTCCTGCACCCCGACCGAGCGCTACGGCCTCGCCTACCACAAGCTCGCTGACGAGCTGGGCATCCAGCCGCTGCTCTCCTCGGCCGCCATCGTCTCGCGGCCCGAGGAGCATTCGCTCTATGTCATCGTCGCCTACACCTTCTACGAGCTCTCGATGCACCAAGGCGGCGGCATTGGCCTCGACTCACGGACAAAGTCCATCGTCACCAGCCTGCGCGAGGAGCTGTTGCAGGTCAAAACGGCCGAAGCCGATGTCACCTCGGAGCTCGAGCGCCTCTCACTCGCTGTTCAGGCGCTCACTCGCGAGCGCGACGCGCTTGCCGAGGCCAGCAAGGCCGAGCTCGACCCCAATGACGCCTCGGTCCAGTACCTGGTCCACGCCCAGGCCGAGGCCAAAGCCTCCGAGGATGCCGCCGTCATAGAGCGGCTCCACGCCGACCTTTCCGTTGCCATTGCTGACCGCGACAGCCTCTCCACCAAAAACGTGGCCCTCGCCGACGCTGCCGCCGCCGCCAACGCTTACGCTGCCGAGCTCTCCTCGCTCGTCCTCTCGAGGCTCAACAAGTGGTTCCGACACACCACCATGTTCTCTGATCGCTGCCGCGCCATTGTTGCCGCTGCCGACGACCTCCGCATGAAGTCGCGCATTCTGCGCCAGGCCGCCAGCCTCGGCCTCGCTCCGCCGCTCGCGCCGGGGCGTCCACTTCGTTTCAATCTCTCGCAGGGCTCACTCGCCGGCACCGCCGATTGCTCTGCCGTTCTCGTTGTTCGCGTCAACATCCGCCCGTTTCTCTGGGACGACGTCTCCTCGCTCGTCCATCCGCTCAAGGCCGCGAGTCAAGTCCATCACACTGCCCGTGCCCGCCTCGACATTCTTGCCGCTAACTATGCCGGCGTTCTGCTCCCGGCTGAACTCGTCGGCGGGGTCAGTGGCCACGAGCAGCTCGCGACCGAACACTCACTCTCCATGTCGCGCACCGACATCGGCTCGCCAGCTTCGCCGGCCTTTCCGGGCACACCCGCCGACTCGCCGGCCGGCACCCCGACCTCGGGCTCGATCACACTCATGACGACTGACGTTGTCGAGCCTGGGCCGGACGCTGACAGCCCGTCGCGGCCAACCTCAGTCCTCGCGGGAACGTACGCGTACGCCTTTCCCACTCCGATCGACGCGCTTCGTGCCGCGCTCGACATGAAAATCCACCTCGAGTCGCGGGCGCCACCTGATGGCGCTGTCGTTGCGCCGCGGGTCACCAACGTCCTTGCTGGCGTCGGTGCCGACAAAGCGGTGTCAGACGCAGAGGCTGCGGCCGGCGTCGGCGGAACGTCGTCGTCGGCGACCGCAAAGACAATGCTATCCGGTGCGTTGGATCCGGTGAGTGACAACTACCTGCTGCTCTCGATGGCGCTGACTGAGGCGCCCAAGACCGCCACCGCGCCGGCCCGCGAGGCCGCAGCCTCGTCGCTCGCGCTGCTCTCTATCGCCCCGCTCGGCGGCCTGCTGCTCGACTCGCGGCCGTACGACGCATGCCGGCCCAAGCTCAACAACATCACCACTCTCGCGGCCATCAAGGCTCACTCGCTCGGGAAGCGGACGTTTGTCTCGATCGATAACCCGATGCATGTCTTCGAGCTCAACATCGAGCCTACGCCGCTCGGCAACAACACCGTTGACTCGAGTCTGGCCTCCATGGGGCCATTCCTCTTCCCGGACACGTCGGGAGCGCTCGAGTCGGCTGTCGGCGATGCAGCACCGGGCGCACTCCCGCCCCCGCCGTCCAGCCCAGCCGAGGCGATCACCATATTCTGCGACTGTCTCACCTCATTTGCCGCTGCTTCGGAGACCATCTCGGCTGAGCTGGCCGCCATCCTGGATCTCGAGTCAGCGTTTTTCGAGACGCAGCGCTCGCTGCGGCGCGAGGTCGAGGCGGCAACCAAGGCCGCAAAGCGGCCGCGGGCCAAGCGCGACCCGCTCGAGCTCCGCGACGCAAAGTCCGAGCTGAGCAAGGCGAGGAGCCAGTTGAAAGAGTCGATGCAGCTGTGCAATGTGCTCGCCGCCGCCAATGCCGCCCACGAGGCCCAAATTGCGGCGCTCGAGAACTCACTCGCCCAGTACCGCTCCAACTTTACCACCAACCTCAAGTCACAGGCTGCGCCGTCGGCGTCGCCGGGTGCCGAAGCCGCCGACAACATGCTCCGCATGGGCCGCATGCGTGTCGCTTTTGCCTCGGAGCGCTCAAAGTACGAGCAGTCCATCGCCATGCTTAACGCCAAGGTCGGCCGCCTCACCCGCCTCCTCCGCTCGGCCAACTACGATCCGTCATCACCGGCGGGTGGGGCCGGGCCGAGCGGCTCGCGTCCCGCGGCGCGCCTCGGCAACCGCCGCACCTGGCGCTCCGGCACCGACCTTGCCAACCCCCTTCTTGCCGAAGATCCGGGTCTTGTCCTCGACGTGACCCGGTCAGAGCGCGAGCTCGATGGCGGGCTGGCGTCGCCAGCATCGGGCGAGTCGACACCACCAGGCTCGCGCTCGCGCTCGCCGCGCCCGTCCATGGCACTTGTCGCCGGCGTTCACGTCGAGCCCATTGCCGTCCCACGCGGTAACGAAGTCCCTGTTCTCCCGGTCATCCGCGGGTCCAGGAAGCGCGGCTCGTTGCCCGACGGCTCGCCGGTCATGCGCCAGCGGCGGACCGGTTCAGTCGATTTTGCGTCGCGACACTCCCCACAGGGCTTGCGCCCGCCCAAGGCGCCGCGCTCACGGTCCAAGTCGCCGCGCGGGGCCGGGCGGACACTCTCGCCGCTCGCCGTCGTCTCGCCCGATGATGGCGAGCCATCGTCATCGTCGGTGAGCAACGTACCCGTCCGCGGCGCCTCGGGCTCGGGGCACTATGACAGCACGCCCGGCTCGCCCGACGTTTCGTCGTCAGGCTCGTTACGAGTCTGCATGCGCAAGCACTCTGATGGTGCCGCCCTTGCCGACGCTGTCGTTGTCGCCCGCCGTCACCGCCGCCGTCGCTCAACTGCAGAGTCCATGTCGTCTATCGACGAGATTATGTCCGACTCACAGGGCGTGCTTGATGCCATCCACGACGCCCGCGCCCGAATGATCAAACGGTCGTCTGGCCGTGGCATTGCCCAGCTCAGGGCGGCCCACTCGCGCCGCAATCGTGACGCGCGATCGTCGCTCAAAGCCAAGGCCAAGGCCAAAGCCAAGACCAAATCAAAGGCTAAGGACAAGGACAAGGACAAGGAGATGGGCAAGGACAAGTCCAAGGCCAAAGGCAAGGCCAAGACCAAGGACAAGGGCAAGGGCAAAGACAAGTCCAAGGGGAAGACAAAGGGCAAAGATCGTGCGCACGCTCTGGCCGCGCTCGGCGAATCGGACCACATCCGTGCTCACGGCAGCAGGACGCCAACCTCGGCAGCAGCGTACGCGCTTGCGACCACGACGCGCCGCCCGTCCGAGCCTGCGATGGCCTTTCAGCGAGAGTCTTCCGCCGAATCACTTGTGCCGTCGCGCCGCGGCAAGACACGTACACGGGCTGGGACAATGTCACCAACGGTCTCGCCCAACTCGTCGTTGTGGCAGTCCGCGAGTATCGCTCTGCCCACAGCTACTGCAGCCGCCACATCGCCCAACGGCGTCGACCAGGCTGCGGACCGCTTTGCGCTCCCGGCAAGGTCCAAGTCGCGTTCAGACTTGTTGCCGAACCAGAAGGCCAGCAGAAGGGGTAAGTCGCGGACACGCGACGACGGCCCTCTAGGCCGCAAGCTCGGGCGCAACTTTTCAGGCACCCAGGTGAGGGGCGGTGGTAAGTCGTCGCGGTCCCGGTCCCGGTCGCGGCAGTCCAACTCGCGCGACGTCTCGTCATCAGGCCTTCTCGAACGCGAGTCGTCGGGCGAGAACGTGCTCTCGCCGTCGCACTCACGGTCGGAGCTCTCGCTGTCGCGGCGGTCGGCATCAGCACTTTCTTCGTCGGGCGAGCGCTCGTCGGTCTCGCAAACAGCAGTGGCGCCAGTCATGCGTAGCACTGTGGAGGGAACGTCAGTCAAGCGGAGGAAGCAAGTCATGACGGCCGAAGAGGCCGAGCAGAAGAAGACTCTCCCGCGGACCCGGTCGCTCCAGTCGTCGCCGTCCAACTCGCGCTCGAGTCTCCACGCCGGTGGAATTGGGAGCAGGAGCGGCGCAAATCTGGCGCCATCGGTCCATTCGCTCGCCGATATGTTTGTCCCGGGCCTCGACACCATCTCGTCGGGCACGTCGTCGTTCCGTAGCGACTCTGACTCGAATGATGATTGCCTCCCCCTCTCGTCCAACTCCTCGCAGAGTTCGCCGGCGGCACGGCGCTCGCAAAGAACGCGGGCTCGGTCCAGGTCACACACTAAGACTGCCACATCCAGCGTCAATGTGCTCGGCAAGGCCAAGACCAAAGCCGCCGCCAAAGGAAGGGGCAAGGGCAAAGGCAAGAGCAAGGGAAAAAGCAAGGGCAAGGGTAAGGGTAAGGGCAAGGGCAAGGGCAAGGGCAAGGGCAAGGGCAACGATATGCCCGATGGCCTCCCTGCTGACGTCTTCGATACTTCGTTCCGGGCCGCGTCGCGTGTGTATTCAACCAACGTCCCGAGGCGTCGGTAGTGGTAATGAAAGCTTAGCTAGCTGTCTGGAAAGGCAAAGGCGCGCTGGCCGTCGCGCGGAGTGGCGGCGGCAACAGGTGTGGCCGACGCGGCCGATGTCTCGTTCCGCATGGTGACAAAGAACTGGCGCTGGAGGGTGGCGACGAGCGAGGACGCAGACGAGGCCTCTGGATCAAAGACGTGGACTGGATCGTGGGCCGAGAGCGGGTCAAGGGCCACAAGCGGCGCGCCGTAGGCCTCCGACTCGGGCAGCAGCTCAAGCCATGCCGCGAGCAGATCGTCGGCAATAATATGCTCGTCCGGAGTGAGGAACCGCGGCGGGAGAGTGCCGGCCTTAGTCTGCAGTAGGAGCGCCCGCCGCTCACCTCCCGACGTGCCCTGGACTGTAGTGACGGCCGAAAAGTGTGCGCCGTTGAAGAGGACTACCAGCGGGGCCCGCGACGTTAGTCCGGGATCGCCCCACAGTAGCGGGAGGTAGACGCCGACCATACCGGCAAGGAGCGCATCGTGGTCGCCAAACAGCACAATCGGGCGGCGGAGAACGTTGGCAAGAACAAAGGCGTGGAGTTCAGTGAGGTAGCCAGCCCGCAGCGATGCTCCGTGGTCGGTCATGACCAAGCCGAGCTGCTCGTCCCACTGACTCGCAAGCGCCGTCTCAGACGGCTCTTGGATGCCGAGCGCGACATCAATCCGCTTGCGCTCGGCAAAAACCGCGCCTTGATGGCGGCTACGGTCGCGGCGGCAGCATCACTGCTGCTGCTCGGCATCAACGTACTGGCGATGCACGAGCGGAGGACGGTGGTCCGGTCGTGGACTCGCCACAGCAGGAGCGAGGCCGAGTGGCAGAGGCAGTTGCCGTCGCCAAGTGTGTGAAGAACCACCGCGCGTGACGCGCCAGTCTCGCTCCGCCGCCAGTTGAGAACGCCGGCGTCGTCGGCCTCGGTCCGCGCCGTCACGTACTCGTCGATGAGGAGCTTGTTGACCAGTGCCTGCATAGTAGCGTCGCCAAAGGCTGGCACCACAAAGACCGGCGGAGTCTCGGCCATCGCCCGCAGCCCATGCTCCTCGTCGTCAATCACCAGCCCGGCGAGCATCGTCCGCAACGCACTCGCCAGCTCGGGCTCGGATGCCGAGAACCGCCGGACAGCAGGCAGCGTCTCCTCCTCCATCGACCGCCGCAGCGCCTCGGACATGCCGTCGTCGTCGGCGCCGCCGCCGCCCAAAGGCTCGGCCGGGTTGAGGAACTCATCCATCTCGGCCTCGGCCTCGGCCAAATCAGCCTCGGCACGGGTCAGGTCCATAGTCAGCACCAGCAGCCTGTCCTCCACCGCTGCCATCATGCCCGGATTCGCCTCCAACTGCGACTGCAACGTGATCAGCTCGAGCTGCGTCCGCTCCTGCGCCGCCCTAGCCGCACTCATTTTGTCTGTCCACCCGCCGCTCTCTGTGTGAGTGTGTCCGCCTGCACACCCTCGTCCTACGGCACTGCGCCCGACTAGCCGTACTGCGGATGATGGAGTTGCGCGACTTGAAGCACTGCGAGCAGTACCCGTTCTGCGAGCCGAAGAAGCCACACTCGGGCGCCTTGCACGTCGCCCGTCCACCCGTAGCAGCCATGTTTTGGGGATGGGGGGGGGGGGGGGGGGGGGGGTGGGTGGGTGGGTGGTGGTGGGTGGGTGTGGGTGGGTAAAATTTATTTTTGTATAGGCCCAGTACCTGTGGCTGTGGCTGTGGCTGTGCCTGTGGCTGGGGCTGGGGCTGGGGGGGGAAACGGGACATTTCCGCTTTGTTGTTTTGGCTGATTTTGGTTTAGATCCCCCCCCCCCCCCCCCCCCCCAATGGAAGGTCTTGTGGGAAGGAACTGGCGATAAAATTGTATTCTTTTGATCTGTCACGGAAGGCGTCTCGGGATCTCCTGTACCGTGACATTGTTCTGACCATTGGGAGCTTTTGTACGTATTTTTTTTTCGCCATCCGCTGCCGGCGCGTGGGTCACTGGCGGACCACCACCTCACGCTCACGTGGAGGCAGAAGAGGGAAGAGAGATAGAGAGGGAGGGAGAGGGAGAGAGGGAGAGAGACATAGAGATATAGAGAGCTCGGTAGAGATAGAAGAGGGAGGGGTGGGAACAAGATAACAAGAAGCAAGCAAGCAGCTAGGCATAGGTGTACTCATGCCCGCCGTGCCGTTGATGCGCTTCAACTGTCAGCAGGCAAAGGGGTGGCAAGCATGGCTGGGGCCAGACCGACCGACTGGGACTGGGGCTGGGACTGGGACTGGGACTGGGACTGGGACTGGGCTAACGGCAATGCTGTCAGCTCGGCTGGTGGCAGTGCTGGTGGTGGCGGTGGTACTCGTGGGTGGCGGTGCTGGTGGTGTGGCTGGTGAGCCTGTGCTGGTGGTCTCGTACGCATCGACGGAGACGGCCATGGCCACGTCGTCCACTATGTCGCTCCAGCTCATCAACGGGACCTTTGTGGTTGGTACCACCTTTGACGCTGTCAAGGAGGCCATTCTGGCAGGCATCACGGTCTCACAATCAATTGGTCCGCATGGCTGGGCCGAGCTCATCACTCCGCGGCTGCTGTCGGAGAACGCTACTCGAGTCGTGGCCGTCTCGCCAACGATCACCCAGATCCTTGTCCCAGCTGCACCTGGCTACGACATTGACGGCGACGAGGTGTTGTCTATCCGGCTGCCAGCCGCGGCGCTACACGGTAATGAGACGGCGGATGTGGTGGCGGTGGACGCCGCGAGGATCCAGGCCGTCGGGACGTGCGCCATTCTGGAGGGCACGCCGTGGACTGAGTCGGACGTCCGCGACGGCACCATGTCATTTTCCGTCCGACTCACCGGCATCCAGCTGGTGACCGAGCCGCATTTTACGCCGTCGACGCTCGCGACGGCGGCGCTTGTTCGGTCAACCCTCGACGCGTCGCCGCCGCTGGAGGCCGGGTGGGACGCGGTCGTCAAGCCGCAGCTGGAGCAGCTGGCGGCCTCGGTTTTCATCCGAGTCTCGGCACACGAGTTGATGGTGGCAGTTCCATCGGTCCCGACGTTTTCCGTTGGCGAGTTCATCTCGGAGCCGATCGATATCCAGCTGCACTCGTCGATGGTGACGGTTGGCTCGCATGTGTTGTGCTCGGGCCTCACCGTGGTGTATAACGACCTGGTCAACAGCACTGGACCAGGTGCCCAAGACGAGTCGATCGACCTGCCGCTACTCAACCGCCTGCCGTCGCGCATGTATGGCTTGGCCACGTGGCTATTTCTAATCCTAGTCTTTGTGGGCTGCTGCTGCTTCTGCATCTGCTGCTCCAAGCTGCTCCGCAAGTGCTGCTGCTCCGGTGAGAAGAACGCGGTCGGGCCGGGCCCGATGGGCACCCACGGCTTTGCGCCACCGACCATCGTCCTTCCGGCCGAGGAGGTGGCGTCGCCGCGGCAGACGCAGATGGGCACGGCGTCGGCCCCTGTCTCGCCGACCTCGCCGTCGGTGGTCTCGCCCAAGTCGCCCAACGCGCTTTACATGCTCGGCGCCGTTCCGCACCACGCGGCCTCGTCGCGAGTCCTCCCGCTGCACACGTCGTTCAGCGAGGAGCTCGACTACTCGATGCCGTCGGATCCGTCCCCGCGCGACGCCTCGATTCATCTGGAGCAGCAGCGAGCGGGTGGCGGTGGCGAGCGCCCGCGCATGCCACGCGCCACAACATTCCTTGCGCCTGCCGATGCTACCGCTCGCGCCGCCGATCGCTCCGCCCGCCGCTCGCGGCTCAAACCGTCCAAGTCTCTGGCCACCCTCTCCCGATCGCCGACGTACTCGGGCTACAAGGGCTCAGGTGGATGGTGATGAACGTGAATGATTGGAGTATTCTTGGGTAGGGGGGGGGGGGGGGGGGGGGGGGGGGAAAAAAAAAAAAGGGGTGCGGAAGAGAAAGTCCCCTTTTTTAAAAAGGGGGGGAAGGGGAAGGCCTAAGAGACACGAT